CTGCTGACTTTGGAGGGAAGCAAAAGATTGCAAATCTGTCAAGCTCATAAAATGTGTACCTCTTTTAGTGGAATAGCATGATGAATAGTAAAAATAAGAGTATCTGCCATTTAAGTCCCCGACTAGGTCATCAGTGGCAGTCACTGAGGACTGGATAACTGAGTTGAGAGAGCAATACTTAGCCTCTAGCTATCATTTAAAAGGCTCCTCCATTCATATTTTCGACTCCAAAAACTCGGTGTGCCATTCAAGCACTGTGCTTGGAAAGAATGTGCAAGGTTTAACACTCACACCTGAGAAATGCATGCATTAGAAGCTGCAGCAAAGTCTAATCATTCCTCAAAAAAACACTTTAAGTTAAAGACTAGCCAGTTTGCCTTTAAACCAAATTAAGAATAAAAACCAAAAGTCATGGTCTCTCAGAGTTAATGTGTGGCAATACTGATAAGGATTTCAACCACAAAAGCAAAATTAGGCTCTGAAGTAAAGGGGAGACAGCAGGGAGCTCCTGATAAGGAAATTTGTTCATTTAAAAAGCATTTATTGAGCATCTACCACAGGACCCTGGACTGATGAATTAGTAATGTACCATTCTCTTAACTCCCAACAGCCTCTAATTTACACAATCACTTTATTTCCAAAAATCATTTCTTAAAGGTCAAGAGCACTGAAAATGTTGTATTAGTTCTAAAGAAAAGTGAAATAAAAACAAGAAAAATAAACACTTTTTTTTTTTTTTTTTTTTTTTGGGATCTCTCTGTCGCTCAAGCTGTATAGTACAGTGGCATGATCTTTGCTCACTGCAACCTCCGCCTCCCAGGTTCAAGTGATTCTCCTAGCTCAGCCTTCCAAATAGTTGGGACTACAGGTGCGTGAGCCATCTCGCCAGGCTAATTTCTGTATTTTTAGCAGAGATGGGGTTTCGTCATGTTGGCCAGGCTGGTCTTGGCCTCCTGACCTCAGGTGATCCACCGACCTCAGCCTCCTAAAGTGCTGAGATTACAGGTATGAGCCACTGCACCCAGCCTTCTATTGCTTTCTGACTCTGACCTCGGTCGGGAAAGGGCCAGGGTTCCTCTGCTCTGTGATACTCCTTTTCTGTACTTCCCACTTAATTCCACAATGCCATAGCAACATGCCAATCACACAGCTGTCACCATGTGGCCACATTTCTGCCACTGTGGCTCCCTCTCTGCTACCTTCCTGGTCAGTGCTCTTTCCTTTCCTCTAAAGTGCTGTGGACATCAATGCTCTAAATTACAAAAGCCAGCCAGGCACAGTGGCTCACACCTGTAATCCCAGCACTTTGGGAGGCTAAGACAGGTGGATCACCTGAGGTCAGGAGTTCGAGACCAGGGTGGCCAACAAGGTGAAACCCTGACTCTACTAAAAATATCAATCAATAAATAATAAAATATTACAAAATCCTTAAAAGGCTCATAAATGGGTTTGGAAGGCCAGATACCAAATTACGAACAGTGATTATCTCAAAGCAGGAAATGAAAATGAGAATGGGAGAAGAGAGGTAAAGGTGACTTTGATTTTTATTCTAACTCATAAATCTCTTGGTCATTTTTTTCATCATAAATACAAAATCTTGTACTGCTGGTATAGTAAATAGTAGAAAATGTTAACACAAGTAAATATTTTTTAAAAACATGTTTATTTCAAGATTCTAAACACCAAAAGTAAAAAAGTTCTCCACCTAAATACATGTCTCAAGAGCAATCAGCTACGACTAAGCTGTCCTTCATAAAGACTGAATTTTCACTCCTACAGGGAAGGAGAATGCTTGTTTTCTTATATTCACAACTCTAGATATTTTCACTTATTAATCTTTCCTGAAAAGATTAAACAATAAGATTTATCATTTACTTTTTTCATCTTTGATTACTTATGAAGTTGATCAAATTTTTAGATGTTTATTAACCATTTATTTTAATAAACTGCCTGTTCCTCACATTGTGATTAGACCATTCCTTTCATATTTGTTTTAAAAGAGCCTTTTTTCATATTAGGAATATCAACGCTTTGTACTGTAAACACTTGGCCTTGAGTTTTTTTTTCTTTTTTTGAAAATGGTATAAAGTTGTCCAACTGCCATAAATGGAACTCTGATGCATCAAACATAAAACACCTTTCTTTATGGCTCTGGTTATGTCTTGCTTCAAAGGATCTTGACTATTGCACAATTATAAAAATATTCACCCACATTTTCTTGTTGAGGTTTCTTCTGTTGTTGAACAAACAGGCAGTTTTCCCAACATGACTAACATAATAATCTATCTTTCCTTTCCCTATCATTTTAAATGCATCTGTACTTTCTTTGTATGCTAAATTCCCATCTATAAATAGGTCTGCTTCTACAGTCCATTCTGTTTACAGTAGTACAAACTAGCTTGGAATCCAATAAGTTTAGAGCCAGTTAATGATTTCACTAGAAGCTAGAAAACTTATTTCAGAATGCTATTCTAGAGAAATTCTTTTAAGTATTTCCCCCCAAATATCAGGATATTAATTTTAATAACTCAATATTCTTGCTTCATTAAGATGTGCAATAAAAGAGGTGACATTTAACCCAGTGCTGAGATGTTACCATTTCCACTTCTGTTCCTCTTCTTTTTTCGGCTTCTTTTTCTTGTTATCTGGCTCAGGAACTTTTTTATCTTTATCTTTATTCTTGGGTTTTTTCAATTTACCATCCTACAAAGAAACATGGTGAGAAAGCACTTAAGGACTATCACACTTCTGGAGGCAGTGTTTGGGTGCCATTAGGAAGAAAAATTGTGATCAAAGAGTATCAGAACTAAAGAGGATCTTAGGTTTACTCCTCTCATTTGACAGATGAATAACAACGTATTGGTAACTCCATTCTAGAGCAGTATTTCCTAAAACTTCCTAACGACTACCTGAGACGTAGTTAAAAAACTCTCTACAGGGGAAGAGCTTGGGAAACTATTTTTTTTTTAAGCCTCAAAGGAGTTTGGAAAAGTACTGCTCTAGAGACTAATCCAAGTGTATTTTTCTCACGTTTTTCCTCACTTAAGTTTAACCCTACTTGTCTTCCCAGTACAATCAAATAACAGTCATAAGAGGCTTTGCATTAGTTATTTAGTACTAGATATGAAAGAAAATTTCCAGTTGACTTATTGGAGTATAGTTCTAACGTTGCTTGATTGTATATACAAAGTCATGATGCAGTAAGCAAGTATCTGAGAGGTTCTAAAATGATACCAATTCCTATGGTGGTATTTCTTTATGGCTCTTCTTTGAACTTTGAATGTAAATGAGCTGATCACAGTGGCACAATGAAAGGACATCAAACCTAAACTGGCACAATTCGCTAATACAGGAGATAAATCTCAATACATACATACCAAACCCAAACAAAAATATAATATTCAACAAATGAATATCCCACTCAGAATGTGAACTCTTTTGAATAGCAATGAAAAGTGGTTTTGAACCATCTTAAAATCAATTAAAGAATAGCACAACTGGGAAGTGTATGGATGGGTTTATTTAACCACTTCTGGTTACAATTAAGGACTTTGAAACAGAGGTTTTGTCATTTGATCAAGGTCATACAGCTGTTATTAACTAGGATGAAAGCCTAAGTTTATGAGAAAAATAACAGACTTATGGGAATAACTGGAATAGATAAACGTTTTGGAACCTCATGATAGGAGGGCAATCAAGATAGGAATAAATGCAAGGTCTATAAGCAATTGACTTTTAGGGTAAGAAAGAATAGGAAAGCTTACAGTACCATCCATATTTTAAGAGCAGCATGGAGAACATAAATATGTGGGTATGTTTTGGAGAAGGTACTGGAGGATCACATTAATTCAGATAATGTTTACTATTTAGGCTGAACACACCACAGGAAAGGGAAATGTTTTTCAGTGAAGATACTCTCTGAACAGCTTCTGAGCAGGCATGCAGATGGTCCTATTAGGAAACTACTGGCTACACTGTATGTTTTCAGGTCTCAAATTGGGATAATCAGTCACTGAGAGACCTCAGAACAATTCTCAGAAACAAGAGACCAAAAAAAAAAAAAAAAAAAACAACAAAAAAACTATAGTTGGAAAGTGAGGTTTAATGATGGATTCTGCCATCTGGGGTCCCTGCCACAGTAAGACTATAATTAATTCAGAATCTTTCAGCCAGCATTTTTTCCTCCTATGTAGTAGGGTTGCTAAATAGAATAATAAAAAATGAAGTCAACTGTTCTTTTTTCCCAATGGCTTAACAAGCTCAGAGTATTATTTTTGCATAAATGAAATAAAACATAAAACAAAAAATACTTGGAGAGCTCAAGTTTTATTTTCCTTTACTGACTAGTCTGTACTGATTAGGTACATAGAAGAGGAGTGACTGGCTACCATAATCACTACTTAACATTTCACTCTCAATTCCTTGAATTAGTGTTTAGTAACTTGAACTTCAGCCAAGAACAGACTAGTTGACAAAAAACTACAATCTTCTAAATTCAGGACCTGATCATCTCTATGGCTCAACTCACTAATAGTCTTCATGTGATTTCATTAAAGACCTTTCTTCTCCCTCCTTGTGGAGTTAGAGGATCAGCAAAGTCCCAGGGGAGGTAAGATAATACAGTAGCTAGTGTGCTGGCTGCTGGCTCTGAAGTCAGACTGCATGGGGTCAAATACCGGCTTTACCACCTTAGTAGCTGATCTCAGGCAAATGACTGAATATTTCTATATTCCATTTCTGCATCTGCAAAATGGAGATGATAATAGGGATATAACAATCTTTTCAGGTTGTAAGGATTGAATGAAATGATACATATATAAAAAATGTAGAATAGTGCTTGGCATATGGTAAGTACCTATTACATTTAATTGTGATTATTAACATCCTTCTACTATTATGATAGCTGATGTTCTTACGACTTGCGGCCCCTTCACTATCACTCTCTTTACTGCTGGTACTTCAACCTATCCACTTTACATTTGTGAACCCATTTTGCCCATGACAGTGGCTAACCTCAAATGCAGCATAAGAGCTAAGAACTCACCCAACCCCTTCTTCTCTTAGGAAAGTGCATCATTAAGACCCCTATGAATTTCTGACATCTTTTCTTGAAATATCTGCTCAAAAGTGTAAAAAGGAGGAAGCATATGATTCTATTTTCAATCTACCACAAGCACCACCAAGAACATTTAGGAAAGCACTTAAACTGAACTAAGCTTTTTGAGGAAGGTTATAGGCCAAGAGTGATAAAGAAGGGGGCATGTGTGTTCCAGAGAGAGGAACAGCATGTGCTACATAAAGCTTGGAAGTATGAAAGAATTTGGTGTGGAAAAGAAAGAAAGGAAGCCAGTATGACTGGTACAAATAAGCTAGAGAAGAGGCACAAGATGAAGAGAGGCACAAGATGCAGGGACCAGATTGGGAGGAGCTGCGATAAAGAGTTTAGGTGTCAATTATATGTCAAAGGGTCACCCAATAAAGAACTTTAGATAGGAATTGTTACCCAAAGTGAATGATAAGCATGCTTTGTTAGATATTAAGAGAGCACTAAAAAAATTCTTCAGGGTTGTAAGCCAAAATGTGGTTTCTTGTTAACACTATCTCTGTATATATAAAAATGACATAGTTTTTGGAAGAACATCTGTTGGCAGCATAGCTGTGGGTAGACAGACACCCAGGAAGCCTATGAAAGCAGAATTACTGCTGGTTGTGGTTAACTTAAGACACTGTAGGGATTCATAGAGATCTTAAAACTACCAGTGCCACAGCCACCACTTATTAAATTTTTTCCCCTAAGGTTACTACTACAACAAACAAGCCAATAAATACCTAAAACTCTTTTGTCTTAAGAAGTTGCTTACTGGAAAACTCCCACTTCCAAACTCAATCCCCAAAGGGCCTAAGTCTCTTTACAAACCTCTTCTTCCTCTAGTTTTCTTTTCTTCTCCTTCTTGATATCTTCTGTTTTAATTTTCTTAGGTTTATAATCAGCACTAGAAAGGGGAACATGAATATGCAGTTAACATAATTATGACTCAAGAGTTCTCACTCATCGGAGACCTACAAACTCTTGGAAGCCTCGATGGCAGGAGTAACTGCTGTTATTCTTGGCTGGGCATTCTACGGTTGAGAGTAACAGAAGTGGAGAAAATAATGAAGGACAGACCAATGACTAATAGTTATAGCCCTATATAGAACAAAACAAACCACTTACACAGGCCTGGAAGCAAAATAGGGTGGGGGGATATATGCAGAAATAAATACCATTATAAAATGAAAGTTTGGGATAAAAATAAGATAAAAATGAAAGATAAAAGTCTGGGAACCAAACACACAGCACACTAGCTATCACATGGTAGTAACTCACTGGAATGTGGAGAAAAGAAATTCTATATTGAATGACTACAAATATGACTTCACTAAGTATTCCCCTTCTCCCTTTCCATCCAATTTCTACTATAATAATAGCATGATAAGCTATGCAAGAGTGAAAATAATGAATATAATTTAATCTCACTGAATCTGGGAAAGAGGTACATGTAAGCCTCAACTGTTTTATGAGCAGTTTTATTATTTTTACACACTGAAACTTCACTTAGAATGTATTGACAGTAATAGGTCTGAGAGAAACTACTTTATCTGTGGTAGGCAATGAGAAATTTTAAATAACTTAAATAACTTATTCTTCATGAATTCTGTATTTGAAATTTCTACAATAAATATCTATTGCTTTTACAGTAAGAAAAATTTATGTAATCTTCACGTAAGCATTGGGTATACTATTTAATTGTTTAGCAAACCCTACTTCTCATAATTCAAAGAGAAATCAGTCCATTAATCACAAATTCCAAATGAAAAGGCAATTAATGCAAGTTTCTCTATGAACTATAAAGAAACACATCACATTTATTCTTTAAACCCCTCCTATTTGTTTTCAAAAGTCAAAGTTTTAAGAAAATACTCACTCGTCCTCATCTCGAGGTCTCTTTAATGGCTTTATATCCTCTTTAGGAGGAACAAAATAGCCATCATCTTCAGGTTCATCTTTAATTTGTGGTGGACTGAAGAGAAAAATAAATTGCTGGTCACTGAGTGCTAGAACATCTGTATTATATTAATACAAAGAAGGAATATGTCATCTCATTGAAAAGAAGCTAATATAAATAAGGATAACCACATACATATTATAAAGATCTTCTGTGAGCACGTTTTCTCACTGCAAACCTGTGAAGTAGATACTATTTGTCCTCACTGTACATACGAATGGATATCAGGATTTGGGATCAAGATTCCTTATTCTAAGTCAGAATTCTTTCTCAGTATTTCTTAGCTATCTTTGCCAGCATGGCACAAACCACTCCAAGAATAAAGCTAAGTTGTTTTCTTGCCTTACATGAGAAATCTACCATATATTTAACCCCACAATCTGAACTAATTGTTCTAGTACTCCAAAAGCTAAAGTACAGCTTTTATAAGGAAAGGAATAAAAATTGATTTCCCCAACTTAGTACCTTAAAGCTCTAAAAATCTGGCAATAATGTACATGTATATCCAATTACATGGAAAAATAACCAAGCTGACAATGTTACAATAAAAGAAAGGCATGTGTTAAGAATAAACAGAGGGTATCTTATGCCAAATCTATTCATTGTTCAACGTCCTAACTTAGGTTTTCTTTGTATGTAGAAGAGTGTCTCCCTATTATTTAAGATCTTCTAAGTATGAATATAAAAAGACAACCCTTTGAGACAACTATCTTGAACCAAAACGGAGAAGGAACAAGTAAAAAATACCACAGAACCCAGCAATCATTGCAGCCACGGGATGCTCCCTGGTCTGGCACATCTCTTGAGAACCTCACCGCCTTAACTCACTACAAGAAATGGCCTCCTTACATGCAGCTGCCCCCTGTGGAGGGATCCAAGGATTAAGAATCCAGACTCGGCTGCAAAGTATATTCACAGGGTTTTAAGAGTACCTCCAACCAAAAAAAGCATAATGGGTCCCCTTGCTTGTGATAGAATTTGAATGTTTGAAGAACTTATCCTATTTTAGCATAGTAACCAAATGCCAACTTCTACAGCTGTTCCCCCTCCCACCTGAATTACTGACACAGACCCTAGGGTCCTGAAGGATAGAAACCCTGCCATTTACCCAACTAGTTAAGTAAATGCTAGATCCTAAGTTTGTCACGCTGAAGACAAAAACATGTGGGAAGGGTTACTAGGTCTGAAGGAAGAAGTCCTAAAACAATTTACCAGAAAACTGTATTCCAGTGAAGCATCTGGATTTTCTACAAAGACATACACACAAGCCAGCAAGCAGTCCAGCAAAGTGAACATAGAGACCACCACCTCAAAGAGAGCTGTGTTCCTAATCTTCTAACGCAAAAAGTCTGAAAATGAACTCATGACTAAGCACCAAGTCCAAAGAGTTTATTCATATCAGTTTAATAAAAGTCCAAGGCAGTCTCTTGGCAGAGATTATCCCTGCAGTGCCTCGGTCACTTTATCTCAGAAATCAAAATTCCTAGGGTGGCTTGCAGCTCTAATGTTTTCTGAATTTTATTATTCTGCATTCCTAGAACAGTTATGAAACATACCTGAAGAGGGCACCTGCTTCTCCTTGTCTAAAGGATCCGAAGTACCAGGAACAATTGTTAACAATTTTAACAAATGAAACTGAAAGTTCAAAGATTCAAGGAAGTAAAACTCTCAAAATGTTTTGTCCTAGTAAATAATGCAAACACTTCCAACCATTTCTAATAAATCCATTTTGACATTCAGTGAAGTGAGAATATATAACAATAAACATCTAGTGTTCTGAAACTAGAGGGGATCTTTGGGTTTATTTTAGGAAATTGAGGCTGAGGAAAACAAAATTATAACAGAAAAAACAGTACAGGAAATAACCTCTAGATTGTGTGCATTTTCCTCTCCTTCTAGAAAAGAGATAACATATTTTTACCCAAATCTACACTCATCCCTAACCTCTAAGTCAAATGGCCTTTTAGATATAAGCCTCTCAATATTACTAAGGAAAAATTCAGACTAAGTGATTTTTCAGAAAATGCCATAATCTCTACTGAATATGAAGTTTCTTTTTAGAGAGATGAAAACGTTCTAGAATTAGTGAAGAGGCTGTAATACCTTGTGAATATACTAAAAAACAGAACGAAACAAAAAAACAGTAAACTGAATAACTCTAACAGACAAACTTTGTGAAACGCAAATCGAATCTGAATTTTTAAAATCTCTCCTGTCAACCTTCTCTATTCAAAACAACGTTCTAGAAAATGTGCTGGTCAGTCTCACTAAATGGCACTGTAGAAAGGCTCAGGTTGGCTTAGACCAAGTCTTTTCACTGCTGACTTTCTGGGAATCATCAAGATGGCCAGGTCAGTGTGTTTGGGATAAACTCAGACAACACTACAACACAGGCAGCTGGCCTGTTGCACACTGAGAAAGGGAAGCCCACGCAGCAGCGAAGTCTTACCTAGAGAAGCCATTTTCCTTCTCCTTCTTTATTTTTGCATCCCCAGAGGCGCGAACCTGAAAAGTAAAACAACAGTAACTGACTAGTATCTTGAAAGGACTAAATTTGAAGAAACCTCATTTTGAGAATACGTAGCATCAAGTCTTGGGACATCATGATTCCAGGCTGGCTCCTCTTATGTTAGCAAAACTGAAAAGATGAACTACAGGTCCTGACGTTTTTCCAAAACTTGTTTTTAACAATTCTTCTGCATGAAACTGTCCAACTCATTGAGAAAGTTTCTCGTCAAAATGTTGGCTTTTTACCTTTAAGTGATGGCAGGCCTCTTTTCCCCAATAAATATGTTCCATTACTCAAGGATTTGCCATTGGCAGTGCAGAGAGGAAACAAAAGCAAAAACCAACCAAACAAAACATGTAACTGGGCCAAATGTGATTGCTCATGCCTGTAATCCCAACATTTTGGGAGGATGAGGTGGGAGGACTGCTAGAGCCCACGAGTTCGAGAGTAGTCTGGCCAACATAGTAACCCCCGTCTTTATTTAAAAAACAAACAAAAAACCAATAGTCTATGTCCTGCCTTCTCTGACTTAGGCAAAGTATACTCATGTCCTCCCTCCCCTTCAACTTCCCAC